AGGGTGCAGTCAGGAGTCTAGTAGTCCTCCAAAATACTATCCCCATACTACCCAGTGATTACAAGAGGTTAGACACACTGGATGACACATCCTGCTCCTAGGAAAATTAGTATTTTATGTTGTATTGTTCCACTGTGAGAGACTAATTTTTTTGTATATTTCACTGTCCTTGTTTGACTCTCTCCCCTGACCCCCCCCCCACACACACACATACACACAGCCCACCCAGTGCTGAGGGTCTAACCCAGGACCTCATACAGCTAAGTACTCTTTTTTTTACATTTGTATTAGATACTAATTATACATAAAGGCTTCATTATGACATTTTCATGAATATACACAATGCATTTTGATCATCTATACACATACCTAATGCTAACATTCTTTCTTCCCTTTCTTCTCTGAGCTTACCTGGGCCTTGCAGAGGGTAATATAGATGTCTCATATAGAATCCAACAGCCACTTCCTCATAGCACTTTGACCACTCATGAGTCTCTGCAGTTAACCACTGGCCACTGCCAAAAGAAGCTTCTCTGGCCAGAGTGGGCCCCACCAATCTATGGACATGAATATGTATGTATGTATGTATGTATGTATGTATGTATGTATGTATCAGTTGGATGAGCACACCTTGTCTGTTCAGCAGAATAGCAGCAGCAGCCTCCTACTAGGCCTGTGACCTCTCTAGCTGTGGCCTGTGACCAGGTTTACAATCCCAGATGTAAGTTCCTGCTTATGGAATGGGCTGCAGATCCAATTAGCAAGTGGTTGGTTGCCCTTGTAATAAATTACACTATTGCATAAGACAGCACATCTTGCCTGGTGGTTGGTATTGCTGTATTTCTCTGTGTCCTATGGCCATGACATATAGCATAGCATCTTTGGTAATAGGATCTTATTATCTAGTTCTGATGGACATCCAAGGAAAGTGGCAATTGTTGGTATTGGGGGGGGGGGGCTTGAAAATTTTAAACATGTATACAATGAAGTATTATTCCCCCCTCCAAAACATTACACCCTCAATTTTTTAGGTTTTTGAGTCAGGGTTTCTCTGTGTAGCCCTGGCAGTACTAGAATTTACTCTGTACCAGGCTGGCCTTGAACTCAGAGGTCCACCTGCCTCTGCCTGATAAGTGCTGGGATTACAGGTGTGCACCAACATGCCCACCTCAACTTTTTTTCCCAGACCTGGTCTCATTGTCTAGAATTTACTACACAGACAAGAGTAGCCTTAGAGTCACAGAGATTTGCCTGTCTTTGCATGCAGAGTACTAAGATTAAAGGTGTGTGCCACACCACCCTATCCTGTTTTTGCCATTCTTTTATTATTTTTATAACCCTCTAAGAACAGTTAATGCTGCCCATATATATAGGGCATATGTTTGGAACCATCCATTAGAACAGGGGTATCCTACGAGTGGCCACATCTTCAGAAAAGAATGACTTCCCTTCTTCCCCAGAGCAATTATCAACTGCCAGTAGCACCTCAGTAAGGGATGGGAAGATCACCTACCCCTTCTTTACCATAATTCTGTCTGGCTTGATCTTGTTGAGGTCTTGTGCAGATAATGAGGTGCTGTGCGTTCATGAGTCTAATAGCCACATCATGTTGAGAAGACAGCATTCACCTTACTCCTCTATCCTCTGGTGCTCACGTTGTCTCCACTTCCTTTTCTGAGACCTTCTCAAGCCTTGGGGATGGTGTTTGGTGGAGTTCGTTTATTTTTTTACTAGTTTATCAAGTATTAGATTTTCTTATGGCTTCTTTATACATTATTGGTTTTGGTTTAACCTCTCCCACTCCTTCCTGCCCTCAACTCCCTGCACTGTCCCCACTTAGACCTTTCCACCTCCAATATTTAATCTCCCACTCTCATATCACAAGCATTCTACTGTCCTCCCCAACTTAAATAATTTCCCCTTTTGATTTAATAATCCCCTTTCTAGTTTCCAGATACATTCTCACTACCACATAAATGCTCACACATAGAAATTAATAGCTAAAATCTACATTTAAAAGAGAACATGTGTTTGTCTTTTTGAGCCTGAGTTCTTCCCTTAATATAGTATTTTCTAGTTCCATCCTTTTCCTGCACATTTAATAACCTCATTTTTCTTTCTTCGTCTTCTTTTTTTGTGTTGTGTTGTTTTGTTTTTTTTTGAGACAGAGTTTCTCTGTATTGTTTTGGAGGCTGTCCTGGAACTTGCTCTGTAAACCAGGCTGGCCTCAAACTCACAGAGATCCGCCTGCTTCTGCCTCACGAGTGCTGGGATTAAAGTTGAGTGCCACCAAACCCCAGCCCTCATTTTTCTTTATGTCTGAATAAAATTCCATTGTGTATATGTACCACATTTTCATTATCCTTCATGAGCTCGTGGACATCTAGACTGGCTCCATTTCCTTGCCTTTATGACTAAAGCAGCAATGAACATAGACCCTTGACAAGTTGATCTATAATGAACAAAGAGCTACGTCTGTGGCCGGAGAGAAGGCTGAGCGGTAAAGAGCACTGACTGCTTTTCCAGAGAACTCAGGTTCAATTCCCAGAACCTACGTGGCAGTGCACAACCATCTGTAACTCCAGGGGATGTCATGCCCTCTTCTGGCCTCTGTGGGCACCAGGCACACATGTGGTCTACAAACATATGCATGCAGAACACCCCTACATAAAAGAGAGAGAGCTGCCTGACACATGTTACTATGCAAGAAATAAGTAATAGTGATATAGACCAATTTGGCTTTCCCATGAAGTGTTTCTCTAAAATGTAACCTAAGTGTGGTGCAAAGTGTTCATCCTTTATCTTGGCTGCTCAGGAAGCTGAGGCATAAACACTAAATTCAAGACTGGGTTGGGCTACAGAATCAGACACTTCCTCCAAAAGTCAGTCAATCAGGTAATTACAGTATTACCTACAGGAACACTACAACAAACCAGGGTTTTTATAGTTAGGGCTGCAAGTCTGTTAATCTCAAAAGTTAATGTAGATTTGATCATCTTTGCTTTATTGACTTAAATATGGAGGCAGATATAAATGAAAACATTGTGTAACAAGATAGCCTGTTTTGTCTTATTTATTTGAAATTTGAAAGTGTAGTTTTAGCAGGACTTTGGTCTTCCTGAGCTCCAGGCAGCTTTTACTTTATTTATAAGAATTTGATATGCTGATGCTTAGCAGGGTATATACATACACAGTGTATTCCTACGTAATTTCTGTGTATATGCATGCACATAGCTTTCATGGCAACTCCAAGTCCCAATGCTTCCTTGATGGGTTGTGGAACCTCAGTCCACACCACTCCTTATGTCCCTACTCTGTCACCTAAACTGAAGAGGAAGCAGGGATGGTGCCTTTTAATAGCACTTGCTGCTCTCCGAGGACCTGGATTCTATCCCCAGAGTTTACATGCTGGCTCACAAGAACTACAGTTCCAGGTGATCTGACATACTCTCCTGGCCTCCACAGGCACTGTATGGATGTGGTGTACTGTACTCATATTGCAGGCAAAACACTCATTCACATAATCATAAATCGATCTTAAAGAGAAGGGAGAATACTTCAGCAGTAATAAAGAGATGGTGGGTACATGAGATAATCGTGTTAGGACTGGAGGACCAACAGCATCTCTTCCCATCAGTTTGTTTGTAAGGAGATCGGGGTGGAAGAAGAACACACACATTGTGGTTGGCGTTGAGCAAAGCCATTCTGGACTCTGGTTCTGTCATTGGTCACTGTACTATGGACTAGGTGCATAGCTTGTTATAAGAAGCAATTGAGATCACAGTTGGATGTATTTGGTAATACATGGATATAACCTAGCACTGTGGAGGGTCAGGCTGAGACTAAAGATTGTTATTGGTTCTAGTGAAACCTTGTCTTGGGAGGAAAAAGGATCATAATTCTAAGAAGCAGACAGTAGTACCTGGATCTTCTGTGTTCTGTAAATATAATTAGGCCCTGAGCACTTCCTCAAATAATTTATCTCTGGTACTGACAACCAAACACTGTATGCTGAATGTTGAAAACTTGGGAGTTAATTTCTTGTACCATATTGTACCAATAGTTCATAATAGTTAATGGCCTAAGACTTAATGAACTAATTTAATAACTACTTTCTTAGAGTTAACATTACTGTTGACGAAACACCATTGGCCAAAAGCAGCTTGGGGAGGAAAGAGTTTATTTGGCTTATATATCTTGAATCACAGTCCATTACAGTAACTCAAACCAGACAGGAGTCTGCAGGCAGGAGCTGGTGTAGAGGCCATGGAGGAGTGTTGGTTACTGGCTTGCTCCCCATGGGTTTCTCAGCCTGCTTTCCTATAGCTTCTAAGACCACCAGCCCAGGAGTGGCACCACCTACAATGGGCTGGGCACCTCCCAATCAATCACTAGGAAAATGCCCTACTGGATTGCCTGCAGCCTGATCTTTTGGAGGCATTTTCTCAATAGAGGTTCCCACCTGGTATCAAGTAGACATAAAAAACTAGCAAGTGAGCCGGGCATGATGGTGCATGCCTTTAATCCCAATAGTGATTGGTGTTAATACCAAGAAAGTAAATGGTACACTTGGAGTAGCTTGTCCAGGCACTCTTTCCCCACCTTGGTTCTCTTTAAGCATTCCATATCATATTCTGTCAAACAGAGAAGTAAGAATGGCAGCTGAGCCATGTTGTCAGTGTAGCAAGATAGTAAGTGTGGAAGTGCCCAGATAGGTAGGTACCAGAGGAGGACCTAAGATGTAAGGGTTGGTAAAATTATTTAATTTTGCTTTTAAAATGACTAAACAAGGAAACTAACATCTTTTTCTACAGCATGTACACAGCCAGGAAGAATACAGCCAAAGATAGTAATTTGGTGCCACTTCCTTGGTTCATGACAAATCACCAGCAGTCTTACCCACCATTGCTTTTATGCCATCAGTGCAGACATCGGTGTGGTGAAATGATACTGTTTTATGTTGTACTCTCCCACTAAATAAGTTCATTCCCTTCTTGCAGATCCTAATTATCTCATGGCTAACGAACGCATGAACCTGATGAACATGGCGAAGCTGAGCATCAAGGGCCTCATCGAATCGGCCCTGAACCTGGGGCGGACCCTGGACTCTGACTATGCACCTCTCCAGCAGTTCTTTGTGGTGATGGAGCACTGCTTGAAACATGGCTTGAAAGGTGGGCCATGGCCTCAAGATGCAAATGTACGGCCAGTCCTTAGCAGTGCCTAGCTGGAAAGAAAGCCTCTTCCATGGAAGCCAAAAATAAAAACCTTGGATGAATAGTGTTACTGGGCTTGGCATGGTGGCTCACACATTTACTTCCCAGCACTAAAGAGGCAGAGGCAGGCAGATTTCTGTGGGTTCAGGACTAGACTGTCTATAGAGCAAGTTTCATGCCAGGCAGGGCTACATAGTAAGAGACCCTGTCTTTAAAAAAAAAAAAAAGTGGAATGCAACCTGTATCGGAGCAGAATTTTAATTGACTTAAAGGACTGGTGATACATAAAAGTACAGTTATCTTTTGATGTTAGAGTTGAAGGGGCCTTCATAAATAAGCAAATCATTGATTGACAGGGAAATAGACCTGCCTAGAATGGACTAGTTACCTGCCCGGTCACAAGTTGGGGCAGAACGGGTGCTGCAGTCAGGTTTCTTGCTCTTCTCACTTAATCAGTTTTGGGGTAGGTCCTAGTCTAAGTCTCCTTAGTTTCCTTCCATCCTCTCTTTTCAGTGTTCAGTTTTCCATTGGGCTATTTTTTTCACTAGTACTATATGGTTTTAAGTACTAAACCATTAAATATTACTCTAGGCTAGATCATACATTCTTTTTCAATTTAATTTTATTTTTATGTATACAGGCATTCTGTCTGTGTATATGCCTGTGCCTGGTACCCATGGAAGCCAGAAGACGGCATTATATCCCCTGGAACTGTAGTTACAGACAGTTGTGAAGTGTCATGTGGGAGTTGTATCCAGGTTTTCTACAAGAACAGCCAATACTTTAATTGCTGAGCTATCTTTGGAGCCTATCCTGGCACTCGCTCTGTAGACTAGGCCGGCTTCGAACTCACAGAGATCTGCCTGCCCCTGCCTCCTGAGTGCTGGGACTAAAGGCATGTGCCATCACTGCCTGGCTTTATTTTTGTATCTATTATAAAACCATGATTTCTACATGTGTTTCTATGTATGTGGTATGTACATATCTGGGTGCACATATGTATGGTGTGTGTGTGGGTGTGTGTAGGCCAGAGATTGATTGTATCTTTTTATAGTCTCCATTTTTGGCAGTCTGGAGCGCACAGACTCAACCATCGTAGCTAGCCAGCTTGCCCAAGGATTCCCTGTCTCAGTTCTCCTCATGCTGGTATTACAGGCCAGCCACCATGCCCAACTCTGGTCCCAGTTGTGTGGCAAACACCTAATTCACTGAGCCATCTCTTCAACCTGAATGAATAGTTTTTTAAACTAATCGCCTAGGATTGGATAGCTAGAAAGAATGATGGAGAGAGGGAATTGGAGAATGTGAATACATGTGCAAGCACAGATACACAACTACCTTTATGAGTGTGTAGTTGTAAAGATTACTAAAATACTATTTTGTTGTGTTTTCTTAGCCAAGAAAACTTTTCTTGGACAAAACAAATCCTTCTGGGGGCCTCTAGAGCTGGTGGAAAAGCTCGTTCCAGAAGCTGCAGAGATAACAGCAAGTGTTAAAGATCTCCCAGGACTTAAGTAAGTTTTGGGCTGAGTTTTTTTTCTCTCCTTAAAGAATGGGCCTAATGATAATGTGCACATTTTTATAACAATCCACATTTGTAATGTTGCTACCACTAGACACTGTTAAGAAATGTATACTCTTGAAGGGTACTTACTTATTGAAGAGAGGTTGTCTTCATATTAAAATACAAGATATCACTGTTTTCTTACAAAACACAGTTGTAAATCAACAAATCTTAAGAAATTTGACCTAGGGAGATGTTATGACTGGCTTGATTTCAGGAAACAACTGTATTCCATGGGTTTTAAAGCCAAGATTAAGTGAGCCTCAGTAACACAGGGCCTGCCTTCAAACTTGAAAAAAAAAAATAGAGATTAGCCTCCCACAGCAAACTGGTCTAATATTAATTGAATGGAATCAAACAGTATCCAGCTTCTTACATAATCCACTCTAAACCTAGGCTTCATCAAATAAACTAATGGAGCATTTCCAGGGGGGTGGAAGAGTGTTCTGGTCTTCAGACTACAGCACATTCACATACTAATGCAAATACAAGATTATTTGTCCCAAACACCCAAGACTCACAATCCCATATGAAATTACATGTGCAAGAACAGCTGTGGGATCTCGAGAGGGGCTTTAGTGTTGCTGCTGGAAGACCATTGGCAGGAGCAGGTGTGCTGTCCCACACTGGACCCACCCTGCTGCCTTTCCTTGGCTTCTTAGTCGCTTGGTTTCTGTGCTCTTGTAGGACACCAGTTGGCAGAGGAAGAGCCTGGCTTCGTTTGGCATTAATGCAGAAGAAGCTTTCTGAGTATATGAAAGCCTTGATCAACAAGAAGGAACTTCTCAGGTATGAACACAAGTCAAACTTCCTTCGTGACATGTTCTGCCAATATCATACAAAGTTCACTCATAGAAACTTGCCGATTGCATAGGTCAAAAACACTCAATACGTAAGTTTCCTCAATTCTCTGTACCACACCTCACACACTCACTTATAGTCCCAAAGGGGTGTTTTGTACAATGTGTGTTCTCTGTGACTGTAGCTATATGTAGTCCTTTATAGGGCAGTTCAGAACTGTGCATGGGCCCAATGGGACAAAAAGTTGACATCATTTCATATGTACCATTAAAAAAATTCATAGGAGGCCTGGGAAGGCTATGGGACCTCTGACAGTGGAACAAGTATTTATCCCTAGTGCATAAATGGACTTTGGGAGTCCATCCCCCATGGAAGGATACTCTTTCAGCCCAGATACAAGGAGGAGAGCCTAGGTCCTCCTCCAAATGATGTGAAAGTCTTTAATGACTCCCCTATGGAAGGCCTCACTGTTGTTAGGGAGTGGGTGTGTGGTGGGATGGGGGGGTGGGGCACGTGAGAGAGAGGGAACTGGGATTGATATGTAAAATAAGATTGTTTCTAAATTAAAAAAAAATTCACATAGAGGGGCTGGAGAGATGGCTCAGAGGTTAAGAGCACCAACTGCTCTTCCAGAGGTCCTGAGTTCAATTCCCAGCAACCACATGGTGGCTCACAACCATCCATTATAAGATCTGGTGCCCTCTTCTGGAGTGTAGATATACATGGAAGCAGAATGTTGTATACAAATAAACAAATAAAATCTTTAAGAAAAAAAATTCACATAGATCATGAGTTGCCTAGGTTACATAGCAAATCACTATCCACAAAAACAAATACCACCATAATGTTAAAAATAAAAGGCAAGGAGTGAAGGAGATGTTTGTAATAATTATTATATAAATGCATGCCTTTAATCCCAGCACTTGAGAAGCAAAGGCAGGTGATCTTTGTGAGTTTGAGGCCAGCCTAGTCTACAGAGTGGGTTCCAGGACAGCCAGTGCTACGCAGAGAAACCCTGTCTCAAAAAAACAAAAACAAAGTAAAAAGGTGACTAGTAAACAGAAAAAAACGTGTGACTTTACCAGCCATCATAAAAATACACATTAAAACAAGATACAATAGCAATGGAGTACAAGGTACAGAGAAAGAATTCTTATATCCTGTGCTCTGCATGTGCATATGCAGACACTCACTAGCTCTCATGCACACGCACACAAACAGGCATATCTTGGTCTTTCAAAGTTTGCAGTTTGCATTAGGACTCACTCTTGTGCCATACATTCTGTGAATTCTGAAAGTGAGTCATTGCTCTAATGTCCTTGGGTCCTACCTACTTAGGCCACTCTCATTCCACTCTTAACTACTCATCATTTTTCTGTCTCCTTGGCTTTGTCTTTAGCAGAATATCAGCTAGTTAGGATCATAAATATATAGCCTTTTCACTTAGTAACATACACTTAAGGTGTTCCATGATTTTTCATGGCTTAGGAACTCACTTTTAGTGATAAATAATATTCCATTTCTTTATATGTTTGTTTCTTCATCTTAGTTGCTTCCAAGTTTTAAATAACACTGTTGTCAGCACCCCTGTGTAGGTTTTTGTGTGGATGTAGGTTTCCATCCTCTTTGAGTGAATGATAAGAAACATAGTTGTTAGATCATACAGTGAGTGTTTGAATAATATATGTGTGTTTAATCATCTGTGTGGTTTGACGACTCTGCCCATTCATAATTTTCTAGATACTTGGAGTTTTTGCTTTGCTTTCTTTGTTTCTGGGATCTGTGGTGGTAAAAGTCTAGGCAGCCTGTTCCAGAGAAGAGCTAGCTAATGAAGGGGAGTTTGCTAAATAATTACATATACAGTGGGATACATATACAGTGGGATAAAACCAATGTAGGGCTAGAGAGATGGCTCAGAGGTTAAGAGCACTGGTTGCTCTTCCAGAGGTCCTGAGTTAAGTTCCCAGCAATCATATGGTAGCTCACAGCCAACTATAATGAGATCTGGTGCCCTCTTCTGGCATGCAGTGCAGGCACACATGCAGGCAGAACACCCTATACATAAATAATTAATTAAAAAACAATATAAACAAAATTATAGGAAATTATTTTTTGAAATAGATATTTTTAAGCCAGAAACTATATTCAAGTTAATTATAATGGTATAATTCCTTTTGTTAATTACGACATAATTGCATATATGATATGATATACTTATTACAAATGTGTATGTTTCCTAAGTTATCAAACAAAGTCATTAGTAGATGGAATTTAAAAGTTTCATATGTGCTTCTTTTACTTCCCTTCATTTTTTGTAATAAGAACAAATTTTACCTGTGTTCTAAAGGAAATGATTCTTTAAAACTTAGAGATCATTTTCAGGCTACTTACAGTACATGTTATTTGGTTGGCAGCTATATTGCTGGGATGGGGCTTGGTGGCAGAGGGCTTATGTAGCATTCAGAAAGATCAGGGTTCAACCACTAGCAGAGCCTCATTTTCTAACCATATACATGTGTGTGCTTATATGTATATACCTGTATATATACACACACACAACAATTTGCATTTTAAAATATTCTCTCATGAAAGAAATGTGCTTAAAATATGATTGAAGAAAATAATTTTTTAAAGAAAAGAATGTTTTTAAAGAGGTGCATGGAACCGTGCAGCATTGTCCCATGGTGCACCATGACCACAGATCAGTCAGTGGAGTCTGTATATTTGCCTCAAGCACTGTAGCTCCCAGTGACACTTGCAGCTGAGCTCTCTAGTGCCTACCGGGTTTACTCGAGTGCCTGTTACCAGAAATGTCTACTTATAAAAGCACTCTGGGAGATGGCATGCTCATCCATGAGACAGGAGGTTTTCTCCTTGCCTCCTGTCTCATTGGAGTGCCAAGGTCTTGCTGTTAACAGTGCTCGGTGGGTTTCTGTTGCAGTGAGTTCTATGAAGCCAATGCCCTCATGATGGAAGAAGAAGGAGCTATTATTGCTGGTCTCCTGGTGGGCCTGAATGTCATCGATGCCAACTTCTGCATGAAAGGAGAAGACCTGGACTCTCAGGTATGGGAAAACTCTCCTATAACCACCAATGGTGTCACTCTGTGTCTTGTCTCCTCAGGGCTTGTATTGATTAAGTCACACCAACCAAGTTGGAAAACACTGTGAACATCAGAAACAGGATTTCCTGTCATAGTGAGGAACTACTCTGCATACTTAGAAATTAAGAAAGGGAAATCTGTTAGTGTGTGACTTGTTCTGGCTAAGCACAAAGGAGCCAGCATGGAATAGAAAATTTTCCCGGCTTGTATGTATGGGCCCCAGGCTTATGCAGATAACACATATTGTCATCCTTCTGTCTCTTTCGGGTCTCGGCCCAGGTTACACTGTGAACAATTTCAACAGAGCTAGGAAACTGTAAGTCTGGCTATTTGGGAAGATGGGAGATTTACATCACACAGATATTGCCTGATCTCTTAAGTACACCAATATTGTTCTTTTTCAATAGTGGGTACCCAGGTTTGTTTTGCCCGCCTGTCAGAATTATGGTTTCCTATTTAGAGCACAGAAGGGTTCGTGGCAGACAAGGATTTAATGACAATTGTGACCCTCTGGAGGCCCTTAGAGGCCTTAGGTTCTGTGTTGTGGGATGGTCCTAATGGGTGGTAGTAAGTCAGCATTGTCTCCGTTTGTTGTGGAAATGGAGCCTCACTGGAGGTCAGTCTTGGTGAATAGGTATTAGCAGAAACTTTCTCAGCAACCCTAAACTTCAGTTATGGAACAAAATATTCTTTCTCTGGGTTTCTAAACTACCTGTCAATACATTACTGTCTTCCATTTATACTGGAGGCAGCGTCACCTTAGATAAATTCATCTTCTATAACTTAGTATTTCCCAAGCAAGTTTATTAGTAAATCCTTCATAGCATCAGTTGTCCTGCTTCAAGCTCCCCCTTCATCTCAGTGTGAATATAAAAAATTAGATTTTTGTCTTTTTCAAACTCTTGCCTTGGCTGTGCTTCCTTAACTCTAAGGATATGTATTAAAAGCCAGGTAGCATAGGAGTACAGTGAACCATCTAAAGTCCAACTACTTAGTTTCAAAGTCTGTCTTATTTTCTAGCTGAATATATCTTGTAGTGGCTTTCTGGTGCTTTCCATTGCTTGATATGTACAGATAAAAGAAAGTAATTGACATGCCTTTAATCCCAGCACTCTGAATGCAGAGGCAGGCAGATCTTTCTGAGTTCGAGGCCAGCCTGGTCTACATAGTGAGTTCCAGGACAGGCTCCAAAGCTATATAGAAACCCTGTCTTGAAACTCCCCCTCCCACCCCTGCCAAAAAAGCAAAGCAAAATAAAAATAAAAAGGAGAGTAATTAATGGGGTTATTATGAACAATAAAGGAGTTTGTAAATACAGTTCACTTTAATCAGGACCATGCTTGAATTAATTACCCAGTAATAAAGATGTTTTCACTGAGAGTATTTCTCACCCCTTGTGTAGGAAATAATGTGATGAGTTTGTTCTGATTTACTCAAGGAAAATAGGAAAGGTTATGTTGTGTATTTGGATTTTTGAAAGAAATAAGATGTGTTATAAAGTGGAAGATTTGAAAAATGAAGATGCCCTCAGTGAAAAGTTGAAACAGACACCAAAATGCTAGCAGTGGTCGTTTGGAGCAGTGCATGTGGGCATTTTAAATGGCTTTTGTTCTTCTGATTCTGTGAAACATAAACAAGGGAATAGGTGTTGTTGTTGAATTATAACTATAATGTTTTTATTATTTTTGACATTATAATGTAATCACATCACTTCTCTCTTCCCTTTCCTCCCCCCAGATCCTCTAATAACTCCTTCCTTGGTCTCTGGAAGTTTATAGCACCCCTTTTGTAATTGTTGTTGTTGTTGGTGTGTGTGTGTGTGTGTGTGTGTACATATATATCCCTAAATATAACCTGTTCAGTCTGTATACTGACCATTTGGTATTGGATAAGCAGTTGGTGTGCTCTTCCCTGGAGGAGACTAGCCCTCCTGCTGTCAGCATTCCTTAGTGGCCTGTAGTTCTTTGTGTGGTCTTGGGGCCTGCCCGTCCCTGTCCACTTTGACATGTCTTCTGTTGCTGTCCTTGTTCACCTCAGGTTTAGACAATCATGTCGGTGAGACTCTGACTATACATTTCTAAATATAAGACTAAATAAGCGACCACAGTGGGGGGTGTGGCATGCTGACAGAGATGGGGGAAGGTCAGAGGTCACATGATGTGAAAGTGCAAAGTAAGCTACAGGGGTGAAAAGGCACAAGGGAGAAGGGACAAGGCACTGCGCTGAAGGGTGTGTAGTGAAGCCCACTTCTTTGCAAGCTCATAGAAATTAAGTTACAAAAATAACTTAAAATAACTTTTATAAATAACTTTTTAAAAGTTTTTCCTAGAATAAAATAAAAAGTCAGTAGCAGAATGCCTGAAAAAGAGAAAGGAAGTGTAAACCTTATTCTTTATGCTAAGTATTCTGTTGACTATCATGAATTGTCTTTTCTTTTTCTTTTGTTGTTATTTTTGGTGGTGATGCTGTGTGTGTGTGTGTGTGTGTGTTGCTGGGTATGGAAGTGAGAGTTTGTACCTGTTAAGGAAACACTGTGCTATTGAGCCACACCCTTGGCCTCTGTGACTTACTTCTAATTTCTCACTTTACCATTATATTCATAGTAAAATGTTAAACATTCATCATAAACTTCAGGTGATTATCGTTATCCTTATGTTATTTTTGAATGCCTAAGAAATGACATTATTTTATATCTTGGGAATAGTATCGAATTTTCTATTAACTTCTGAAAATTTTCTCCAGGTTGGAGTTATAGATTTTTCAATGTATCTCAAAGATGGAAACAGCAGTAAAGGTAGTGAAGGGTATGTATGAAGAAATCATGTTTCTTTTTTCTCAGATGTAGCATATTTTCCTTGGTTAGTTTACAACGATATTGTGTTAGATTTAGTAGAAGAATTTTGATTGTATAGTTTTAATAAAGTCTTGACAAAAATATCTGATTACTGGGCCTATGATTAAAAAGGTTTTTAGGTTAATGACTTTCCTGCTAGGTAATTCAGGAGCAGACATAATAAAGATATATAAGGTCAATCTAATTCTCCATATCATTTTGTTTTTGTTTTTCTGATAGTCTCATACTGTAGCCCAGATTGGCCTATCACTCCGCATGTAGATCAGGTTGGCCTTGAACTGAAGGCTTCCCTGCTGCCTCTGCTTCTCAGCATAGGATCCAAAGGTGTGAAATCACCACACCCAGCCAGTTCTCCACAGCCTGAAGTAGGGCTTGAAAATTTGGACAAGCTTGTCATTGCTGCACATTATGTCCTACCTTTGGAGGCTGAGTATAGATGACCAGAAACTCAAAAAAAAAAAAAAAAAAATAAAGAAAGAAAGAAAGAAGAAACAAGCTAGGTGTGATGGCACATGCCTTTAATCCTAACACTCAAGAGGCAGAGACAGGCAGATCTCTGTGCATTCCATGATGACCAGGGCTGTATAGAGAGACCCTATATTTAAAAAAAAGAAAGAAAGAAAAAAATGGGGCTGGTGAGATAGCTCAGTAGATAAGAGCACTGGCTGTTCTTCTAGAGGACCCGGGTTCCATTCCCAACACCTACCTATATAGTGGCTCACAGCCATCTGTAACTCCGGTTCCAGGGGACCTGAGGGTACTACACACACATGGTACAGACATACACAAAGGCAAAACATACATTCACACAAAATAACTTTTAGAATATCTTGACCCTTTTGAAAGCTTTGTTAATGTAGGTTGTTGTTCCCACTTTTAAACCACTGACTCTTCCTTATTGATATTCAAAATAATGATGTATCAAGTGTGACTTCTGGTTCAGTGAGTCTGTACCCATCAGTCTCATGCTTTAGGAAAAGCTGGGATGAAAGCTGTATCTTGCCATTTCTATCACTCATCTTAATTCTGTTTCCATTATTTTTCCCTCCAGGGATGGTCAGATTACTGCAATTCTAGACCAGAAGAACTACGTAGAAGAACTCAACAGACATCTGAAGTAAAGGATGAATTTAATTATTTTATTGGGGGTTTATCGAGAGACACAATGATCAGTAAAGACCCATATAGTCAGTGTTCAGCAAACACACAGAAAATTCCATTTGTCAATCACAGAGCTAAGTACTGGATAAGTTAGGTAACTTTTAGTGGAAGGCAATAATAGGTTATCATGAGATTGTAACTCTAGAGGTTAAGTAAGTATATTCAATTAAGAATTATAAAATGTGACACACATGGTTGATGCTGGCCACCTACTGCAGTACTGATCTTGGGTAAACCATCTCTCTTGTTCCCTTGCACTTCTCACTTACACACTAAATTGGTATATTAACTTTCCCTCTCTTTGCTTCCACTACCACTAAATTATCAAGTACTCACCAGATATTTCATACACTCCAGAATTACTTTAATATTCTTATGTTAAAATTGGCTTAATAATTTTAGAAGAATAATTAACATTAACATAGCCATTAGTTACTATCTTTTTTGTAGCCTATAGAACCTTTGTAAGGTCTGTTATAAAAGCCACTCCCCTCCCCATCCCCACACTCTTTTATGTGGAAAGTTTATAGGGGAGTAAGAGAGTAAGGGAAGGGAAGAGAGAAGAGAGTGGGGGGATGGGGCTACAGGGTTTCACTGTGTAGTCTTGACTGGCCTGGAAATTGCTATGTAGACCAGGCTGGTGGCTGGCTTTGAATTCATGGACATCACCTGCCCCTGGCCTCAAGTGTTGGGATTAAAGGTGTGTGCCACCAAGCCTAGCATAAAAGCCATTCTTAATTGACTTATAATGTAGATATAAGTTTCTGAAGGCACAGAGGCAGAGTTCCCTTTGCAGGTCTCTGGTCTCACTGTAGAATAATTTTAAAATGGACTGGGGAGTGGAGTTACGCTCAGCAGTTATGCTCTGACTGTCTTTCCGGAGGATCCAGGTTCAATTTCCAGCAACCATGTGAGGACTCACAACCATCTGTAATCCAGTGCTTCTGAAGGCACAGGCACACACATGGTACACAACATACATACAGCAAAACACCCATACACATTAAGTAAAAATTAAAAAGGACTCAGAAGGGAACTCAGGGACAATTTATTGGAATTCAAGAGAAAACCCCAGGCATGCAAGCCATAGAACTTGACAGCTGCTAAGTTGAAGAAGGGGGAAAGTTACATCTGTAACAGTTTACAAGTAAAAAGAAGGCTAAGTTGTACATTCTAGGAAGAATGAAAAAGATCTGGGTCCTAACACAGTTTTCTTACCATTTTACTGAAGGGTGCAGTATTGCCCTTCTTCCAGAGTATGTGAGCGTGGATGCAAAAGCAGTATTCTGCCCTATAGGGCCAACCAAGGAAGAAATGTTTACTTCAGTTGCTTTATTTAGCCTCATGGTCTACTAAGAGTTTCTCTGGGTAGCCTAGCTGTGAGTGTGTGTCCAAGATGGAAGGGCAATAACTAACAGCATTTATTATCAGTTACATTCTTCTGTCCTTAGCTCAGGGCCTGGAAGGAATAGCCAACAGCTGCTGTTTCTGTCTGTTTACCTTTGACTTCTCATTTTGGTTTAGTTTAAAGCCAAAGCCCACAACATTGGTTTATCTTTAACCCTGCAGTTTGTTTCAACTTTTAGATCTGTATGAACTGCCTGGAAGGCCAGTCACGGTGGTTATGCGCAGTTTGGGGATTTTCCACAGTAATGCTTGATATTGACCAGATATATGTATATATTTATTTATTTTTGGTTCTCTGCCATGACATTATGACTTATTTGTCTCAGAGGAAGCTGGCATATTGATATTCATATTTCAAGTGGTACAAAGACCCTTTCATTTCCTTCCTTCACTGCCTAGAATCCCCTATCAGTGTCAGTCTAAATTTAGAGTACTCTTGGTTCCAGCTAGGAAATTCAGGTCCGATTTATATTTTCTCTGGGGTTTAAGAACTAAGCATGACCATAATCTATGACCACACCAGCCAAGCAAAGATGTGCTTTTTATATTTGATGGCCAAATATAAGCTTAATTCTTCCTTACCCTTTCTGTGCCTCAGTTTCTCTATCTGTAGTTAGAGACACCTAACAAAAGCTATTGCAAGAAGTAAATGAATACAGGGAAACAACTGTAAGAGTAGTTGGTGTACATGTAGGCTGTTGTGTCTCATACAGAGACATCATACCATGTACACATGGTATTAGAATGTACCATGTTTACATTCACTCTTTCATTTCACTCAACAAATACAGAGCACTACCTCTGTGCCAAGGACACAGCAGTTAAGGGTGAAACTCTTTGTATGTTGTCTCAGAGCATACAAGTCTAGCAGTAACTGTGTGCACAAATTGGGATATAGATACTATCAAAACATCTTGTATTCATGTATGAAAAATCACAAACCCATTGTGTATAGTTAATACGATCTAGTTAGACTTGTAAAGTTGATATAGACAGAGAAGTATAATGGGACTTAGGAAGGCAAGTGCAGTTTTTGTCCTGTTTTTCAAAAGTAACTGTTACTTTTTTTTCTTGTCTTAATAGTGCAACTGTGAACAACCTTCAGGGAAAAGTAGATGCATTAGAAAAATCCAACACTAAACTGACAGAGGAGGTAAGTGTTTTGGACATTATTTGACCTATAAATGTAATTATATAAATCAGTGATACCAGTCATTCCTATTACCTTGGACATGAAGGATTTGACTTTTCAGATAAGAACCG